AATCTCGGCATTCATAAACTGTTTTAGTTTCCAGATGTTTGTGGTTCGGTTCTTATCTTACGGGGTGCTTCTAAATTCAGAAACATTTAATTTTCCCCATGTGGGCATTCGCAGGATATCACAAAGCCATTACAGTGAATCGACCACCTCTTCTTAAAAGGTTCTCTGTCAGTAATACAACTCATTGAAAGTCGGTCCACAACTGTCAGTTAATGTGGAATATGGGTTAATAATAGTATGGTCCTTCCATATTTAATTTCATTTCCATTGTTGGGCGATCGCATTCACCTAATATTTAATCGCTCTTTGACATTGATTTCGACGGTTGACTTTTTATTTCCGCATCATGGGAATATTCTAACGGCGTGCCAAAAAAAAGATACAGGTTTTTGTTATTAATTGCTTAATTTGTAGTTCATTTTTTTTTTATAATGTGGAAAATGCGATTCCAAGCTGACCATTGAATCCCTAGAGATTTCTTCTCTTTTTTTTTATAATGGCAATTTGATATCTGAAAATTTCTCTATTCTTTCTTGAGGAAAAATAATGATACGTTTGAGAGAAACTGTTCGAGGAAGTCCATAAACCATACAAATGTTAAATTTTTTTCTTCATACAGTATAACATTGGATTTGGAGGAAGCTATATATATATATATATATATATATATATATGAAGAGGGAGATTGTAAGATTTTAATCTCTCAATCCAAGCAGGATGATAGGAGGCGCTTGGTGTATTCGGCAAGTGCCCACAGCGGGAAGAAGTTTCTGTAGGTGGGATAGTGAAGCATCACGTTCATCTTGAAAACCCCTTCGATCTCCTGCACATAAATTCAACAAACCGCACACCCCATGCATCATCAGTTTCCCACTTTATTACTTTTATTTTTTTTCCAAAGGGATCACCTCTTGTGGAAAATCGCCGTTCTCCAACTGCGAGTTGATCAACAGTTTCGCAGCACGGTGAACGGGTGCAGGGTCTCTCTCCATCTATACATAAATGAACATCAAAACTTAGTAGATTAAAACCATATATATATATATATATATATATTTCAGGCGTTGATATGACTGACCTGGCCGACAAGAACCAGACCCATCATCGCTTGAGCTGTATGCACCACATTGGACCGGTTTCCTTCCAACGGAGTATATATCTGTCCCAATAATACGCACCCGAATAACTAAATCGATACGCTAACTAATTAACATGTAATCATAAACTAAACAAATTCGATATGAAAATCGAATCTTTATGATTTTTTAAAAATCCATAAATGTTTTTAAAACGAGTATTTCTATCGATAAAAAAAAATAGCTTTTTTTAAAATGGAAATAATCAAATCTACTAAACCGGAACCGGAAGTGGACTCCCCCTACCTTTTTGGTACAAGAAAGGTAGCTTTCGCCCCAACCACCGTCGATGTTTTGGGTTCTGAGAAGGAACCGAACTGCGTTACGAATAGTCTGGGAGTCCTGGTACGTCTTTCCGACCGCAACAAGCCCTCTTAGGGCAAACCAAGTCGCGTAGAAGAAGCACACTCCCCAGTTCCCATACCTTTCCATTTCATCTCATATAAAGAAGAAAAAAAGAGCTCCAATTAAACTTTGATATATAAATATATTTGTCTTGTTAAGTTGGGCGAGAATGATTAACGTACGCACCAGGAGCCGTCATCCGTCTGCATGTTCTCGACATATTTTACAGCATTAGCGATGAACCTCTCTATTTCCTTCTTTCTGTGTCCGGGAAACAGTTTGTTGAACATAACCAATGCTATTATGGTAGAGCATGTGCATTCCACGTACCTATTATTACGGTAAGACACGTGCATGATTTGGTTTTGTAATAACTTGTTTACACAACATATTATAAAAAAGAAGGAAAGAATATGAAATGACATACTCGTGCTCCACAACCACGTCTTCCATAAACTCCAATGGATTAAACCTCTACATCGACCATCAAAAATCAAACAAATTCATACTAGTACTACTTTATGTTGTTAGCAATTTGAATTAACCAAGTTTTGGGTTAGTCAAAATGAATAAAAACAATTCAAAAAACTTGGTACCTCAAGCCAGAGTTTTCCCGGTGCCGGTTCCCATGCTGTTATGCCTCCGTTTGGGCTCTGTTACCGTATCGAAACGTGCTTGTTAAAATTTCGAAACTCTCTCGAAGATTTTAGGAAAACCTAGAATTGTTAACAAAGCAAATTTATTTACCTGCAATGAGAGAAGGAAATTGACTGCATCGTATAGCCTCTCTACTTCCATTTTCTCACCGATGAACTCGGGAGGCATGGTTGAAAAGGCCAAGCAGCACTGTGTATATATACATGTATCTATGCATCAGTAGTATTGTGAAAACCATGACTCATCTTTAAATGCTAAATAGATCATATTTTTTTCTCGAAATTCAGGAAAAAAATTTAGATCTCAACCTCTAAGCTTTCGGCAGTGCAGTCAGATACTGGCCATCCATGATCTTGGTCCGAAAATGTCCATCCTCCTTTCGTGAAGTGTCGAAATGTTCTTTTATAATTCCCACGAGGGTTTTCTGCAATCTGTTATATATTAAGAAAACACACATGATATACAGATTCTGTGTAAAATATCACTCACCTCTCTAGGTACTACAATATATATATATATACACACACACACAAGACCTGAGATTTCTTTAAGAAGTCGTATCCCTTGACGAGCGTTGGTTTGATCTCATCCACAAGATCCGTTGCTAAGAGTGCTTGAAGCGAAAAGGCGGTATCCCACAATTGACTGCCAAAAGACTGCATACAATATACGTACGGTCACGTAAAATGTAACGAAAACTAATTAATAATCTTCTACTTGTATAATAATTTAATAAACAATATCAAGAAACTGTATTAATTATTTTGTGCTCTTTATAATATACCAACCTGGATTTTCATACCATCCTCAGCGACCCATATGAAATCAGGGATTCTCGCTAGATGCTTCTTGAAATGGTCTCCGTTAGGGTCTTCAACCCAAGAAGAAAGCATACATAACGACTGTACAAGAAGAGAAAACGTTAAGAAAAATAAAAACAAATGTTTTTTTTTATAATTAAAGATATATACCATGCATTTAGGAACGATGATATTAAATATCAATTCCCTCGTATGATATACCTTCCCCCCGCATCCACCTGAAAGGTATCGGCCAATTTCATCTTCGTAATGGATGAGGTCTATGGTGGTCTGAAGAGCCTTCTGTCTCATCCAGGGCCAACGGTTCAAAAGAGGTTCAATCGCCATATACACGACATCCCAAAGCATTTCTTGTGCGAATGTCTGAGGGTAATAGACGTCTTCCTGCACATATGCCAAGCGGTTCGAAAATCTTGTGATGTTGGATTCATCTCTATAAACATGGAAACATGTCCAACATGTTTCTTGGTCATAGTTTTAACATACCTTAGCGCATCTCTTGTGTGCGTTCTTCCAATCGATTTTATCGTAAGGACGAGGGTAAAGCTCCTTCCGGAGTTGCAGAACGAGAGGCGTTGGAGAAGAAACAAATCTTTTGCCGTACAAATATGACATAGGCATGAAACTATTTCGGGAATATATCCAGAGAGTACCTGTACGCGCGTGCATAAGTATTCAGAATATACTTGTATTGGTATCTAATCAGTTCTCTAAAGTGACGTTTAAGATCTCAAACCTCCATTAACAGGAAGAGAAGAAGGAAGCAACCACAATTCGGGTGGCATCGGTTTGCAGCCAGACCATTCATGCACTCCAAGAGCCTACATATAAAACCCTAATCATCAGCATACAAACATAGGAAGCATCGGTTCTTTTGGTGTAGACGGCTGAGTGTCAGTGCATACTGAAAGCCAAACTTTCCCCATCAAGGGTGTATACGTGGCACCACCATGGTCGAGAATCCACTTTCGAGCCCTTGCACAAGCTTCCGCATCAGGTTCTACTCCGAGAATTCGTAGGGCGATGTAGTTGAGAACCGTACAGAACATAACACTGTGGCTTTCTACGTGTAATCCCCATCCACCATCCTCGTTCTGTAATGAATATCGACGACACATATTTAGATAAATCAAACCCATGCTTAAAAAATGCATTAATTTACACACAGATTGACACCTGGTGATTGTATACGTAACGTAGGATTTCCTTTTGATGCTCGGAAGAGAACACCTTTTCCAAGTGCCCAGTGATGTAAAGGCATATAACCTGAGATGGACCGTTCGTATTTTAGAAAAAAAGAGTTCAGTTAATATCATACAGTAAACGCACGCGTGTGTACTCACGAAGGGTGGGTGGAAGAACAAGGGTCCGGCGTTTTCAGCAGGCCAGTGTCCATCATCAGCCTGCAGGGCCGAGAAATAGTGAACCCCTCTTCTAAGTGCGGCCTTGGCTACGTCGCACGTGATTTTCTCTGCATCCTCGACTCTCACTCGGGGAATCGTCTGCTTAAAGTTTTTCTCCCTTAGAAACTGCACAAATGTCTCGGGAATTGAATGAAAAGATCAAATAATAAAAAAAGATTTGAGAGATGTGGGGGGAATTACGCACCTGCATGCGCCAGAGGAGATCGGCACTGGGCTTCACAAGAGAACGGTTCTTGGAGAAATTACGGCGAGCTTCCTCTACCTCAGCCACCTCCTCAGGAGTGCCTGCCTTTGGATCATACTCCCATATCTGCCTCCCTACGTGTCTATTCGTGCTGTACAAGTATGGATCATCTCCTCCCTTCGGAGTCCTCAGCTTCCACATTCTTCTACCTGCTTCAAATTTAATTTATGCCGGTCCATGATCATGATTTCATCATATGTTATGTTGGTACAATGATCGGTTTCTGAGTTTGGCGTATATATGAATTACAATTCATAATATATAATAATAAAAAAAGGAATCTTACCGGCCGGGATGAAGGGCGCGATCGAGAAAGATAACGACAAGTTTCGAGTGAGAATAGAAAAGGGGTGGGGGATTTTAAGCGCCCATTACCACATAGCGTCAGCGTGAGCGAGGAGTAACGATCGCGTTTATGTCTCCAATATTACACCCTTTGTGGCCATTTCCACGTGAACATATAGAGACATACACATATAAAACTGATTCCACTTGGCATTTCCACGTGAATACGTAACTGATGCCACATTATAATAAAACCATATCCATACATTCTTCCATTGATACTATCACTCACTATCCTCCATATATGATCATGAAAATCACAAGTAATGCTAGTGTAAGGCTTCTCGAAGTCGTTGGTTTCAAGGCCATAAGTAATTAATGGCTTTCTAAGACATGAGATTTAGGAGTTTTGTGATCATCGCGTTTTGAGTGGTTATTGAATTTGCTGTATTATAAATTACAATTCGTGATAAAACAAAAGGATATCTTACCGTACGTGATGAAGGCCTCGAGAAAGTTTCAAGCGAATGGAATGGGGGGTCGTGTCGTGTGAGGATGAAATTTGGGTGATTGAAGGAAAACACATACCCAGACCCATTTAAATAGAAGTTGAGAGATATTTTACACGTGGCTTAATTATTACGTAAATGATTTAGGTGACGCAATTAAAGTGCGCCTAAATTATTATATAAAATTTGTTATGCCCCAGAAGAGTTCTGTAAAACCAATCATCTAATTTTGCCTAAATTACTGTAAAAACAATTTTCTAAACAGTCCCCATGATTATGGGTGTGGCTGCTTAGCCTTCACCCGAAAAATATACAAAACTTGAAGAAGAAAAAAAAAAGATTTGGATTAATTTGATGATTTCCAAATAAAAAAATGTGTATGTGTCTGTATGTGTGTACATATACTTAACATCTACTACAGAGATTTCTGCACTCCCTATGAAAATTATTAATCATCGTTATCTTGGTCAATTAATACATATGCATGGGCGTACCTACACCTGTTGCAGGGGTCACAGGCCCCCATTGATTAATTAAAAAAATTATATCTCTTATAAAATTTAAAACAAAACTGTTAATTAAATACTCCCGTAACAAAATTAAATTCACCCTCAATTATATATATATATATATATTTCCTAGAAGAAGTGTTCACTATTCAATTCTTGAAAGTATTGGCCTGGGCGCGAGCTTTAAATATAGTCACGCTGGCGATCCGACCGACCTATTAATATTCATATTCTTAGTATTATCCGTCGATCGATTCCTTCGGCCAAAATTAATTGCATATGGGATTCAATTTCCAACACTATATTATTGCAGTTTTATCGTTACAGAAACATTAATTTAAAATTAGCCCAGAAATAAAAACGAAAACGGCAACCTTAAGTTACGCGGTTTTGGTTCGCATGCATGCATGTTGAAGATGTCCATCGTTGTAAAGCATGTAATGTAAAACTACGTGACCATCGTTTCATTGAATGTGAAAAGTCTTCGAACTAATAAGTCTAAAGAGACAAAAAAAAAAAAAAAAGAACCCTCGGATGATTACTGCCTCTGATTATGTTTGCTGCTTCAGAAATATCCAGCCTTTATGGATTTTTTGTTCTTATCTTTCCAATTTTACATTTTTTTTATATTATTACTTTTGGGATATTAGTGGAATTTTCTAGAAAGAAAATATTAAATCATATCGTTATTTAATTGGGTAGTTGTAACTTCATAGGAGATCATCAACCCAACTTTTAACCTCTTTTTCATTAAAAAAAAAACTAAATAGGATACATCAAACGATTTGTTGACAGTTCAAGTATTGTCTCGAGCGTATTTGAATTTGGGGTCCTTTTTTTAGCACGATTTAAATCGAAGTTTGGGGACTTTGAAACTATGCGAAAGCAAAAAATGAATAAAATGTACGCTTTAAATTTGTGGCACGGACCAACTAGACTGATTTTGACATGATTGGTGTGTGTATATAAAAATAAATGATTTTTCAAGTACTAAATGCTGTGTCATGCCATTCGATTTCTTGTTATTATCAGTCAAACTACGACCAATGCAAATGTGAAACATATTCAAAGGAAAAATGAAAGTCAACCAAATTCAGCCCCTGCGTAAAGTTAAACGTAAAACCCACCCTGAAATTAAGAAGCTACGTACAAATTGCTAAAAACGTATATGAACGATAATATATCAGTTCAGAAATTTTATGATCGGATTTGACAATTTTCTTATCCATTACGTCGTTAGAAACTGTTTCTTCAATTAAGAAACGATTACTTGAGAAGAAGAAAAAAATTTGTCACGAGGGATGTTGTAGAGGTCACTACATCTACCGATCAAAGAATATAAAATTATCTTTTAATATCTGTATATTAGTCGTATATCTTTTTGAGATATCATGTAGGTCCCAAGATATCTTATAATATATTCCAATTTCAATTTGAATATATTTAATTGAAAAAACTCCAAACAAATACATGAAACTTTTATCTTTAAAAACAATACGTCAAGCATTTTTCTCCAAATTTTTACGCTAAACCCTAGCAACATTAAATATGTAAAATCTAATGTTATATATTTAACATTTTTTGCCACATAGGGTCCATCCCCGGTCGAGCGTATATACATGTATATGTATATTTTTTTTTTGTTTAAAATTTCTAATTTTTAATTTTTGGATTTATTTTGATGTGATAAAAATGATACATGGTATTCATCTCAGCATAGTATCTCGGGGTCATATTTTTTTTTATGATGAAGCTTGTTTGTGTTTTTCAGTTCCAAGGTCGTGGTTGTGTATTAGGGTAACTGTTTTAGGTCGGTCCATTATTTCAGAAGGATATTATCGGAACCAACACCATCCATCGTTTCTCGGGGTTCACTTGCATGGTTTTTTGAACTATTTCATCTTCTTTTTATATTTCAATCATATATTATTTATCTACTATTACGTTTTCATTTCAATTAAATACCCAAAAAGATCGGAAATGTTCTTTTATAATTCCCACGAGGGTTTTCTGCAATCTGTTATATATTAAGAAAACACACATGATATACAGATTCTGTGTAAAATATCACTCACCTCTCTAGGTACTACAATATATATATATATACACACACACACAAGACCTGAGATTTATATAAATAGAACTCAATAAGAACTGTCAGAAAAAAAAAATTGTATATTGATGAAAGTAATGCAATGTAATTTTTTGGAAAACTATTTTATTTTTATTTTTGGCAATCTTCGTTTTCTCTGATTTTTTTTTAAAAAAAAATAAAAGATTAGGTGAGGAGGCGCGCGTCACGCGCCTGTCGTGTTGGAAAAAATAAAAAAGCTTCTACATCGATTTTGACAGCACGCGCGCAACGCGCTTCACATGCGCGTGGGCTTTATATTCTCTAAAGAGGACGTTTGTCATTCCATCTCGTTATGGGCCCTATCTTTTTTATATGGGCCTTCTCAAAATCTCATCACCACCAGATAGAGGCCCAATATATTTATATTCCCAGACGAAAGCCCAATTTATTTCTTGTTACTTTTTTCCCCCCCTCTCTTATTTATTCCATGAATATGTTTTCCACTTTTTTTAACTCTTTCATTGAAATATATTTTTTAGACATCAACATATTAGTATATTACTATTATTAGCTTCATGAACACACATACATATTTTCCTTTTTTTTGTAAAGATAATGTTATATTACGTTTTCGGTTGCATTATTGCAAAAATCTATATCATAATTGATCATTTATTACCTCCAAAATAACAACCAAAGACATGTTTTTTTTACCAATAAAACTACATTTGGATAATTTTAACTATACAATTAATTTATTATATATTATAAATTCGTAGAAATCATTTTCAAAACATCAATAAATCTTAAAAGTAATGTCTCTACTTGGTGGCCACACGTCGAGTACATTCTTCTTCGTCGATTTAAGAAACATGCAACATGAGACTGAGACTTGCTATCTCGGCTTCTTGAGTTTAACACCACTGACCACTGTCAGGAGCTTTGATCAAGAACCAAGATTCCACGGTGATTTCTGCAACTGATAATTTGACTCAGCAAACATTCAGACAAGGCTTTGCAAACTGTACAATTCTGTCACAGACAGCAAACTAAAGCCAATGGTCAAATAACGCATGGCTCTGAGGAATCTACTCTATGCTAATCAGAAACCAAACCTGGAAAGCTCTGCTAATGGAGTTTCTGGTTTTACAATTTCACACTGCACGTTATGCTCCCTAGATTCAGTGGGAACTTTTTTATATTACATAATCAGACCACTCGGATATATGAGATGTCTGGTCCATGGTCAGACCCGGAATCTTGTCGAGCTTCACCGGATTCTCTTTCCCGCCTATTAATCTCGCCGGGTTTCCCACCGCCGTCGTCCTCGGCGGCACGTCCTTCAGCACCACCGAGCCCGCTCCTATCTTGGCTCCGTCTCCGACCTTTATATTCCCCAGAATACAAGTCCCCGCTCCGATCAAAACTCCGTCGCCGATCTTCGGGTGACGATCACCGCTCGCTTTCCCGGTTCCTCCGAGCGTAACGTTGTGGAGGATCGAGACGTTGTTCCCCACAACCGCAGTCTCTCCGATCACGACGGCCGTCGCGTGGTCGAGCAAGATCCCGCGTCCGATCTTCGCTCCCGGGTGAAAATCGACGGCGAAAGCCTCCGACACTCTGTTCTGAATCAGCAAAGCTAAGGTTTTCCGGTTATGGGTCCAAAGCTTGTGAGCGATCCGATGCGCTTGGCATGCGAGGAAACCCTTGAAGTTGAGGAAACAATGGACGTAGCTTATGCAAGCTGGGTCTCGTTCCTTGACCGCTAAAAGATCGTGCCTCACCGATTCTACGATTTCTGGGTCTCCTTCTAGAACGCTGACGAACAGATCGAAGAGCGTGTTGCTGGGCAAATTCGAATTGCTGAGCTTGGTCGAGAGGATATTCGCCAACGCGGTCTCCAGGGATCGCTGAGAAAGAATCGAAGCGTAATAGTAGCTCAACAAAATCGGTTCGCTCTCCACATCGGATTTCGCCTCTTCTTGCATTTTCGTCCAGACATCGCCGATTTCGGCGTCTCGATCGAGATCGTCGACGAGGGGGCGCGTGTGGAGAATTTTCGTCGGGTTCCCGTTGACGGGCACTCGAGAAATCCGATCCGAGAAACTGGGTCGGTAGAAATTCATGTAACGGAACCCAGAATCATCGTCCTGAGGCCTGTTTGGATCGCGAGAAAGCTGGGCTTCCCCAGTTCTGGACGTGTCGATGCATGCCGCCATGGGAGAAGATGAGATTTTGAGGATACTATTGAAAGGAGAAAAGTTGAGCGACACGAGAAGAGGAAGAGAGACCATGCTTTTGCGGAGAAGACGAAGGGAGATTATATAGGGAGATAGAGAAATGACGGCGACCTGTGACCGGGAACATGGGAAATGCAATTTTCTCGGGAAAATTGTTATTTAATTAACTGACGGAAAACGGAAGAGATAAGGAAGATAGATACATACACCATACATATATTTATATATATAGCC